AGGGGATTCCCTTCTAAACAGTAAGAAGATATTGCTCTCCCCTCCTCCCATCCCATCAATCATCACCAGATCTTCAATAAAAGTAAGTGTCATTTAATTGTGCATGCCTTTTTCAGTTTGTGTGTATTAAAATTAACATTTCATGTGGTAAAAAAAATTTTTTTTCATACTTTTGGGCGTCTTGCACGGATTAATTTTATTTCCATTATTTCTTATGGGGAAAATTGATTCGCATAACGATTATTTCGCATAACGATGAGCCCTCTTGCACGGATTAAAATCGTTAACCGGGGTCCACTGTATATATTATATATATATATATATATATATATATATATTATATATTATATATATATATATAATATATATATATATATATAAGCCTATATATATATATATATATATATATATATACAGTGGACCCCCGGTTAACGAACTTTTTTCATTCCAGTAGTATGTTCAGGTGCCGTACTGACCGAATTTTTTCCTATAAGGAATATTGTGAAGTAGATTAGTCCATTTCAGACCCCTAAACATACACGTACAAACGCACTTACATAAATACACTTACATAATTGGTCGCATTTGGAGGTGATCGTTAAGCGGGGGTCCACTGTATATATATATATATATATATATATATATATATATATATATATATATATATCAGATCACTTTCTAGTTGTAGCTACACTGAGAGTAAAAGGTAGATGGGATACAAGGAGAATAGAAGCATCAGGGAAGAGAGAGGTAAAGGTTTATAAACTAAAAGAGGAGGCAGTTAGGGTTAAGATATAAACAGCTTTTGGGGGATAGATGGGCAAATTTTGAGGCATAGGCAAGGGGGCCCCCGAAGAGGTTTTGGGGTAGGTTTAAAAATGTAGTGTTGGGAGTTTTTTAAAACCCAAAAAAGGGTTTGTGGTTACAAAAGTGGGTGCGGGGAGGGAAAGGAGCGTTTGGGGGAAATGTTTAATGTAAAAGAGGAAATAAGGGAGAAAAATTTTAGCATATGGGGGGGGGGGGGAAAATTTTTTACAAAGAAAAAGTGTTTGCAAGGGGGGAAGAGTATATGGAGAAAAAAGAGAGAATTTTAAAGAGAGTGGTGAAGCATGAAAAAAGGGAGAGCAAATGGGGAGAGGGGGTTTGAGATGTTATCAAAAAAAATTTTTTTAAAAAAAGGGAAAAATTTTTTTGGGTGAGTTTAAACAAGTTAAAAAAACCCAAGAGAACAAAGGGATTTTTCATTTTAAAAAAAAGGAAAAGGAAAGAGTTATTAAATGGGAGTTAGAGGTTTTGGGGGAAGAGGAAGGAATATTTTGGGGAAAATTTTTTAAATGTTGATGAAAAAGGGAAGCTGTGATTTCGTGTTTTGGGAAAGGGGGAAAATAACTTCTTGTAGGATTGGGAAGAGTCAGTTGTGAGTGGGGGGGAAAATTTCCCTTTGAGGAAAGTGGGTTTAAAATAAAAGGGGGAAAGGGCAGCCGGGATTGAGGGGGATAAAAAAGAAATGTTTAAAAGCAGGGGGGATATATTTTTTGGAGTGGTTGGTGAAATTTATTTAAAAAAAATTTATGGAAAGGGTAAGGTACCTAGGTTTGGGCAGAGAGCATGCAAAGTTTTTTGTATAAAGGAAAGGGGAAAAAAGAGAGTGAAAAAAATTATAGGGGGATAAGTTGTTAAATGTCCCCTGGTAAAGTGTAGGGTTTAGAGTTAAAATTTGAAAGAATTAAGAGTAAGCGGAAAATAGGATAGCAGATAAACAAGGGGCTTTTGGAAAAGGTAAGGGGTGTGGGGGACCAGGGGGTTTAAGTAAAAAAACCCTTTAAAGGAACGTATTTAGAAAAGGGCTAAAGAGGTCTTTGTGGCTTTTTATGGTTTTGGGAAAAAGGGGCGTATGACGGGGTTTGGGATAGGGGGGCAATGTGGCAGATGTTGCAAGTTATGGTGTAGGAGGTGGGTTACTAAAGCAGTAAAGATTTTTTAAACCGAGGTTTAGTGAGGCTCAAGTTAGAGTTTTTAGGAAAGGGGGGGAAATTTTTCCCCCAGTAAAAGTGGGGCCTTTAGAAAAGGGTTTGTGATTTCACCGTGGTTTTTTAAAATTATTTTATAAAATGGGGGTTTGTAAGGAAGTAAATGCGAGGGTCTTGGAAAAGGGCGGGGTTTTTAAAAAGGGATAAAAAAATCACACACAAAGTGGGTTTGTACAGCTGCCCCTTTGCTGATGACACTGTGCTTTTGGGGAGATTGGGAAGAAAAGTTGCAGAGTTTGGTGGAAATTTGGTGGGGTGTGAAAAAGAAGAAAATTAAAGGTAAAAAAGGGAAAAGAGTAAGGTTATGGGGAAAACAAAAAGATTAGGTGATAAAAGATTGAATATCAATTGGAGGGAGAAAAGTATGGAGGAGGGGGAACGTATTCAGATATTTGGGAGTGGAGGGTGCCCAGGGGAAAGGGGCCTTTTGAAAGATGGGTGAATATAAAATTTTGGGATGGGGGAAAAAG